CTGTCTTTCATTGTTTACAATAGGTCCTCTGGATTAATATTTAATCTAGTACTTCATAGTCTTGTATTTCCTTTTATATTCTACATATGAAGTAAAAAAATATGAACGTTGATTAGAGACAATACACTCTCGGATGTGTTATTTACCTAACCATATCTGTGGCACTTTATTAAATAAGGCATGAAATTATTAGTTTCGAAATATTTAGTAATTATTTCTATAGTATCTCTTCAGTAAATTAAGAAATAATAAAGAAATTTTTAAAATATTCAATAATAAATTTTAGTTTTAGTTATTTCAATATGTGTATCTTACACATTTAAGATTTTGCAGACAGTAGTCGTATTTTCATCAGGCTGTGAACCCATTCTTTTAGTTAAGAATATTTGTTAAGAAAAAAACAATCAATACAAGTTGAGACTTCCAGCAGTGCTAGTATGAAATTTTTAAAATTATAATTCTGATTTACTTAATACATCATGTTTAATATAAGACAGAGACTAAAGAAGTGGTTGGAAAAGATTTATAATATATTATAATACTAATTTATTTTAAAATTTTTGTTTTCTAAAAAATGTAAAAAATCAGTTAATTGTTTTTAATTTAAAAATGCATAATGGAGTGTCTGAAAACCGCAATTTAATTGAAAAAATTAATAACAAGAATTTAATTAAATATTCCTATAGCTAGAAGAGCAATTACGTTCTCTTCTACGTATTTTGTTATACATTATAGTTCATCCGAAAGATAAAAACTTTGCAGTTATCTGTATATGACATGACTCAAGTTTCTTATAGATCCAAGAATTTGCATTTGAAGGCATTTGAAGAGAATCGGTTTATGAATAAAGAATAAAGTAAACTAACATAAGGGTCCAGATTTTAAAAGGTACTCTTAAACTTCCTGAAGTTTCAGGATTAAGGGTCATTTTAAATATGTTAGATTAGTTATTATAAACATTATATATTAATAAAATTAATTAAGATAAATGCATTTATAAATAAGACTTATAATATTTAACAAATGACTTACAGTTTTTGTGACAAGTTTTGTTAACTCATCGATTTGTGATCTCAATTGAGCATTTTGTTTATGCAAATTTTGCACTTCTGCGCTATCACCGCTACTACTTGAGTTGCTTGAGCTGCTGTTATTATTTATTCTACTATTATCATTATCGTTTTGATTATTGTTATTATTAACTGTTCCTAATTCACTATTTGTTAGATTGTTATTGTGTGAATTATGTATAGAATTACTGTGATTGCTATTGCTGTTGGTGCTGTTGGACTGTGTGGATTTGTTACTACTACTTGTGGTGGTACTGGCTTTGCTTATTGATTGTTTTACATGCGTAGTTAAGACCTGTTCAATCCATTGATCGAAAGGTGTACTAAGAGCTGAGGCTGCGGATGCCTTAACAGCTTCAGGGTACAAGCGTTGGAATAATTCGCGTATTTGTTTTTGATCCTTTGATGAAGAATCTGTAGAATTGGCGGAGGGTTTTTGTGTAGTGGCAGCTAAAAGTTGCTGTTGTTGCTGAAAAATAAAAGATAAAAAGTTTTAATTAATAATTTATATAAAATTTTAGAAATTAATAATTAAAATTAATAGTCTCATTTATTAATAATAGCACATGCACTTACTACTAAATTCGCATTTGCGCTTGAAATAGTATTTTTGTCTTTAATTGTTGTTTCAGCATTTTGTAAAGCCTCAACCAACTTCCAGTTTTTCATACGCAAATCCTAAGATGAGACATACAGTAAATTAGTTAAAGCTTAGAGAAAAAATTAATTGATTTTGTTTGTTGTTTAAGCAAAGAAATTAACGAAACAAATATAAACTATAATTGCTACTATTGAAAAAAAAAAAATCATGAAAACTGGAAGTTTTGGGCTAAGTGCTTATATTATATTAACAACAATATAATATTTTGTAGTTGTAATTAAGAACCCACTACCAGTTAAAGTGCATGTGTAGCTTAAAAATAAATGAAAAAAATAAAATTATAATTTAACAATTATACATTAAAAATTAATTTGTTTTTGTGATAAATGCTTAGTATGATGTTTTCAAATAAATACATATGTTTATACTGGTAAATATCGATATCAGTGAACTTTAATTTGTCGCCAAAACTGTAACACCATAATATAAGTCAATAACCTATGTAATCAGAATTTTTAATAAACTTATTTACATATAGTATAATATATTTTAATAAAAATGTTTTAAAGGCATTCAAACTACTATGTATAAAAGATAATGAGCGGTTATATCTTTGATTATATTTATTTCCTCAGACAGACAAGCTACCATTAAAGTATTCAGACTTAATGAATACTTTAATGGTAGCAAGTGTGAAATTATTCATTATTTCAACAATTAGGTCCATTAGGAAAAACAGATCATGAAGCAAGGCCATGAAGAGTTGAGCTACAGTTGGGGCACATATCGCGAATTGACGCATTTATGCGTGATAAGCAACTGTTTAGCTCATTGCTATATTCTAGCCTTAATTGTATTGAGACAATTTTTTTGCGTCACTCTTCCCTGGAAATATATAGTGGAGAACTGTTGTTGAAAACTTTGTTGCTATGCAACCGTAGTCTCAAAAGGAAATCCACATCTCTGTGGAGGGCTGTTAATCTACGTTGTATTCACTGATGTTCGTTCAATTTCAATAAGTGTTGATATATTCAAGATATGAAGAAAAAGATTGACGGATGCACCGTAGAGGAAGGGCTCTACTTAAAACGTTGCTATTCGGTTGACAATTTGTGATTATGCTCTCTAAGAAGAAACATTTTAGTTTGATAAATATGGTCAATATGCGAAACGTGATGGCATTCGATCGCAGTCCACAAAGTCATGATTTAGCATGTTCGTATATTATTATATTGCGTCTTGCATAGTTCTGAAGAGACATTGACCGTAAAAGAACTTCTATTGCTTTGTATTTGTTTAGCGGGAGTTATTCATCATAACTCTACGAACAAATTGCAAAAACGTTAACACATTATTGCGAAACTTTAGCCAACTTTACATTGCCGTGGTATGGGTAAAATGGGTCAACAAATTTTCGAGAACGACATCCGACATTTCTGATTTAGTAGTAATGGGATTATAAATTTATCGATATCAATAGGTCGAGTCAAGCATACTTTTTCCGTCCAGAAAGTGAGGACTAAAAATAAAGGTAACTATAAGCACATTATGAAGAGAAAATCTCCACTCAATCAACTTGAAGTATGTCAGAGATTGGTTTAACGATTGAACGAGGTCTGAATTATGTTGAAGTCTCTTTGGGATAATATGGTATTATTATGAGCTTCTATTGTTTTAATTATCTTATGTTCAACAACCATCTACTTTTTAATTTAAAATATTTATTTTGAATGTATATAAGAATCTTAATTCAACATGTTGACAAATAACAGGTGTATGTTTTTCTTTTATTATAAAAGGATTTCATTTTAATTAAAAAAAGGAGTATTTGTTTTTAACTTAATATATTATTTAATCATTTTTATAAGCAAAGAGAAAAAACAGGTCGGTCTGCCAAACCTAAGTCCAAACAAATTGCTGATAAGACTGTAAGTAATAGTAATACAGTACACGCTTATAAACTAATTTAGAGAGATGAAGTTCACATAAACGAAATGTTCACCATATCAAATTATTTATTTTTTTTATATGAATGTAATTTGTGTTCGTTTAATAATAAATCCGACTTTTTATAGACTTCATTGAAATTTTCTTGATAAAAATATGTGCATAAACCTTAACAGTACATATTACAACTAAAGCAATAGTTTGAATTTTTCTTAAATGTAAATTGATTGTTAAATATTACTTATATCTTTTATATACAATGTTGCTAGAATTCTCTAAGTTGGGCCTTTAGGCGCACAATAGATCTTTTAGGTTGGGGTGCATTCATAGCCTATTATTTAATAATAATAATAATAATAATATACAATATAAAAAAATATTACACATTTTTAATAATGTATTACAATACTTTAACTTAAAACGAGCTTTAACCAGAATCCGAATTAGTTACTTCTAATAAATAATTTGTCTTATTAAGATTTTTATTGCAAACAAAGCATTTTTTCGAATCCGAAAA